ACGAAATATTTATGCGAAATAGATTTACACGCAAAAAACATTTTATTGTAATTAATAAAAAAGTTGGATTCATATTTGAAAGACCTGAGTCTCCTAATTAGCCTTGATTAATAGCGTAGAAACAAAAAAAGGAATTATACATAAGAACAATATAAAAATATTTATTACATGTCTTTACATACGAAAAAAAACGAACCAGTCGTCGGCGGGACTCGAACGCCGTTGTCAGCGCAAAAGTGTTCGCGGCGCGGGAGCTTCTGTCTGCTCAGCCATGCCGCTTCGTGAAAGTGTCGTAACTTGCGCCCTATGTGTGGCACGGCTCCGCGAACCAAACTTTAACTGCAAATTACTCGTAAACAAAGACGCATTCACGCATATTATGTTAGGGCGTTTATACACGGCATCATAGCTATCGAGTGTGCTATGACTCGTGTTGAAATCGATGAAACAGGTTGCGTCATCTCCTTGTAAGCGAGTGGGAAACAAGATGGTTAAAGGTTGTTGGTTAAAGGATTTGTTAATATTTCCATCGAAACTTCCAGAAATTCCAGGGCCATCGCGTCGTGTGTAGAATAGCTAGGTCGGTTCTAACTCAATTTGTAAAATATTTTTTGCAAATTTTTATTAATTAAATATTTTAATTAATACCCCCTTCTTTATTGACACCCCCCTCTTTAGTGATACCCTCCCTTATTGATCCTCTTATTGGTGCCTCCCTTTATTGATACCCCTCTCCTACCCCGAATTTTTTGATTCTGTGGGTAAGATGGCGACCGTGACATCACGCATATGTCTAGAGAAAAACGTGCCGGGATGTAGGTAGGCTCGAACCTGGGGCCCTCGCGGTTACTGTCCTACGTTTCAATCTCCTAGACCACCGTCGCCTGTTGCTAGTAGACGTCTAAAGTGGAAGTTCTTACAGTGTGTATGATGACGTCACGAGAGAAAAGAATTGCCGGAATGTTTTGCTAGACTCGAATCTGGGCCCTTGCGGTTACCATCCAACGCTCTAACTTTCTACACCACCGTCGCCTGTTGTTATTAGACGTCTAGTGAAGGTTCTTCCAGTGTGTATGATGACGTCATAAAAGAAAAAAACGAGTGTAGTTCCAAAAAGTACTCATCTCCGATTCTTTTGAAATTTAGTATTCTTATGTATTTTAATGCGCTGATTGCGAATATGATAATGAAAATTGGCGACAAGGTCATCTTCAATGTCAAAATGAAGAAAAAGTAGCTTTTTCGCAAGTTTCTTTCATTATCTTAATAAATATTGATTTTAGCAGAAAAAGTTCTAAATAAAAGTTGTGCTTCTCTTAAAAACATAACATTTATGTTGTATACATTATTACTGTAAAAGCAGTATTTTACGAGGAAAACGCAATTTAACATTTTGGATGTTCTTCCGAATAGGGCACTCATGTTTTTACAATTCCACATGGATTTGCAATTTTTCACGCAAAGCAAGGTTTACCTCACATCTTTCTCTGCCTACGAGGTGAAACGAGATTTGTAATTATTACGTTTTATATGAGTTTGCGAGTTTCCACGCGAAGCGAGGGGGAGAGGCTCATTTGTGCACGGTACAATTGGACACGTTGCAATTGCGCATTGTGCTATTAGACACATAAAGTTGCGCACCGTTCGATTAGACACCGTTCGATTGGACACCGTTTCATTAGACACCGTTCAAGTGGGCACTGTACAATTGGACACTGTTCGATTGCACACATATTAGATGTGTGAATTAATTCGGTCCATCTAGCGGTCAATTGCTGCACTATGTAATTTTCTAACCTCTAATGTTCGCAAAAGGCTTTATTTTTTAGTTTTGATATCTGGCAATAATATTCAGTTCATAAATGTTTGGGTTTGTAACAATAACATTGTGTTTATCTGATTCGAAAATGTCGAAATTCGAGCCAAAAAAGAATCATTTCCGGTGTTACGTCCTGCAGATTTAACTAACAAAATTGTCTTTTCCTCTCGCGGATTTATATTCTCCTAATATAACTATAATAGGAATATATACATATATAAATATCAGGTGTAGTAAAAAGAAATCCATTATTTTTCCAATAGATGGCTTTAGTTATCTGTATCTCGCGTTGTATAAGTCCGATCGGGTTCCACTAGATGGCGTTAGAAAGATGAGATTTTTAGGTTTTTTGTGTCCTCTTGCTCTCTCGCCGATGCAAGTGGAGGGTAGGTTCCTAAATTAACCTAGGCGTGTTCTTCTTTGGTCCCTTTATTGCGCACGTGCCTGCCAGCTGCAGAGCACGTGAGTCACAGGTACAACTTATTCGTCTACAATACAGAAAAATAGTTTTCTATGCTCGCACGACATATGAGCCACAGCGGGACTCATATGTATATGTGTGTGTGTCGAACGGAGCCGATGCTCCTGCCTGCCCGCTCTTGCACAATCGCGACCGCGTGCAGAAATTGCGGTGTCAGACACGACAAAGAAAGAATGACTAACTATGAACTAGCGATCGTATATTCGTGAGCTCTGTGTGCGCTTCCAACGGTTACTGCTCGTTGGTCTTTTTTCCCGCACGAGTGACACTTGCGCGCGCTCTGTAGCGCCGCACGGAAAACGGATGCGTGCGCTTTTGGGAGCTCAAAGTCCCCACAGGTGCTCCCCCCTCAGTGGCCTCTCTAGACAGAGAGGAACGAAACTTTCTTCTTTTTGCGTACGTTTTTAGTTGTGGCGCGGATGAAGTGGACGGACGCGGATCACTCGTTTGCGGCTGTTCAGAGCCGTTGTTCTCCAGCACTATGAACGCGGGTTTTAACGACTCTGTTGATAGGGTTTTTTCCTCACCATTGATATCCACCAGGAAAAACACGGTCTGTTATGCGCCTGATTATTCGGTGAGGACCCGAATACGGCGGATCGAGCGGTCGGCGAACAGAGTCAATGCGACGGAAGACATGCGAACAAGTGTACAAATCCCGGAAAACGAACGGTTTCGCGTTCGTGTGATGAACTGTCGCCGTTGGACGGATCTTACGAATGTATTCGCGGAATTTTTCTAAAAATATAAACGGATCAGCCGGTGGATCCTCATGAACAAAAAATTCACCCGGTAACCGTAGTGTTGTGCCGAAGAGAAGCTCTGCTGGAGACGCTTGCAGATCCTCCTTCACGCATGCTCTTAGGCCAAGAAGAACGGTTGGTAAGATGTCTGGCCACGGTGTTGGTGCATGGCATCTTAGTGCTGGCCTTCAGGGGCGATGCCAGCGTTCGATGAGTCCGTTCGCTTGTGGATGAATACGGCGTAGTGCGAATCCGAGTTGCCACCAATTAGTCGCGCTAATGACTGGAAGAGTGCAGATTCAAATTGCGTTCCCTGATCCGTGGTGATCGTCAGTGGAGTCCCGAAGTTGCATATCCAGTGATTGAAGAGAGCGGATGTTACAGTGTCTGCTTCAATGTTCGGTAGTGGAAGTGCAACTGGCCATCTGGAAAAACGATCTATGATGTGAGGCAATAGCGGTTACCTCGTATAGGCGGTACTCTATCAGGTCCAAATGGATGTGATTTGAATCGGTTGTCCGTTTGCTTCGATATATTCAGCCGTGGTTTGTTGTGTCTGCTGACTTTTGATCGCTGGCACGGTTAAACACTCATGTGCCCAGCGAGAAACATCTTGGTTGATGCCTGGCCAGATGAATTTTTGTTGATGCACTTCAGCGTTGAGCGAGCGCTCGGATGAGCCGGACCATGGATGACGTCGAATGCTTTGCGTCGAAGTGGTTGTGGTAGGTACGGTCGTACGATGCCCATCGAGACATCACACCAGATGTCTTCTTCTTCGATTCGAAGGTGGTTCAGCTCGAGCGACGTTGATCTTACGATGTCTGCGAGTTCTGGATCTGCTTCCTGCGCGTTTGCGATGATTTCTGCTGAGAGTGTGCTTGGCATCTCAATTGCGTTGATCCTGGAGAGCGTGTCTGCAACCACGTTGTTTTCGCCTTTCGCTTTGGACTATGGACCGTGGTCCGTGGTGAACTGCGAGATGTAGTCCAGTTGTCTTAGCTGGCGTGCGAACTCTTTTTCTGTTTTCTGCTGAAAGCGTATGTTAGCGGTCGTGGTTGTCCGTACCTGGAATACTCTTCCTTCAAGTATGTGTCTGAAAGAGACTTGACGGCAGGAACACAGCAAGAAGCTCTAGGTCAGATGTAGAGTACTTCTGCTCGGTTGGAGAGAGTTTCCGTGAGAAAGAATCCAAGTGGCTGCCAGTGTCCGTCTATCTGCTGTTCGAGTGACGCGCGCCTAGAGCGAGTCCCGCAGCATCGGTCGTCAGTGTGAGAGGGTGCATCTGGAGCGTAGAAAGGACTGAATGTGTGGGCAGCTGTCAATGCATCCTTGCATTTCTGGAACGCAGCCTCTGTCTCCAATTGTCCAGGGATATCTCTCGCTTGTCCCTCTTCTTCGCCTCCTTCAGGTGTTTGGTTAGCGGAGCTTGCTGTTGAGCGGCATTCGGCAATACTCGACGGTAATAGTTTACCATCCCCAAGAAGCGACGTAGATCTGACGATGGTCTTGGGTTTTGGGAAACTGTTGAAGTGGCTTACCATCCGTCGAGTGGTGGTTTAAGTTCCAGTCTGTAGATGGACAATGTAGCGAGGTAACGCACAGAGTCTGTCCAAGAAGAGATTTTGGTCGCATGGACTGGAAGGTTCTTCATGGCTGTCTGAGAAGATGATGATATCATCTACGTAGCATGCAGCAAAGTTGATCCCGCGCAGTATATTGTCCATGTGCCGTTGGAACGTTTGCGTGGCATTTCGAAGTCCAGGCGGCATGCCTAAGAATTCAAATAGGCCGAAAGGTGTCGTGACAGCGGTTTTGGGGACGTCCTCCGGTGCAACAGGAATTTGGTGATACGCTCGGATTAGGTCTAGCGTGGAAAAGACCTTTTTTCCGTGCAACTGTTGTAAGATGTCCTCTATTCGTGGAATCGGATATCTGTCTGGAACAGTTTGAGAATTTAGACGCCGGTAATCACCTGTTGTGCGCCAGCCACCTTGTTTTTCTGCACCATGTGTATCGGACTCGCCCATTGACTGCGTGAAGGTTGCACGACCCCAAGATGTAAGAGAAGGTCGAAGTCTGCCTTGGCGGCTGCCAATTTGTCACCTAGAAGTCGTCGTGGACGCTCGAACACTGGAGGTCCTGTGGTCTCTATATGATGCGTGATCCCGTCAAAGCGGATCGCTGAAGGAGTTGGCCTTGGTGCGAAGACTGCTGCATGCGAGTCCAGTAGTGTGGCATATGGCTCTCGGTGTGGTGAGTTCGGAAGATTGTGTTGACTGGTTGCGGAGACACTAAAAATGGTTGTCTCACATACCTGACCCTGTGTGGCAAGGCTGGTTTTTGGATCCACAAGGCGTTGTCGAGAGAGATCGATGATTAGACCGTAGTGTGAGAGAAAATCAGCTCCGATGATCGCTGAGTTCACATCAGCAATGATGAACGACCATTTTAATGCGCGGCGAAGTCCGAGATCGAGGGTGAGCGGCTGCTGGCCAAATGTGCAGATGGCTGATGAATTGGCGGCGAATAGTTGTAGTTCGGTAGGAGTGAGCTTCCTGTGCACGCACTTCCGAGGAATCAGCGAAACGACGGATCCAGAGTCGACCAGGAACCTAATATTCGTGGTTCTGTCAAAAACGTGGAGTCTTTTCTCACTAGGCGCTGTTGTGCTGTCGCCGATTGCCTGTGTCGACGGCAGCGACGTCAGTTTCCCGCGCCATTTGCATTGGTAGCTTGGAGTGTAAAGCTGCACGGCTGCTGGCATCGTCTCGCAGCAGCACCGAAGCGGCGGTGGTAATAGCACCACTGCCTGGTTAGTTGCTGAGTGTTACGAGAGCGCGACCTGGAACGTGTACGTTGACGCTGGGTGGGCTGTCCTTGGTGGACAACAGCAGGCAACAGGTGCTCGAGCAGAGTCGTCAGGTGTGCGACGGACTGTTGCATGGTGGTTACTGCTTCTCCTAACTGCTGAATGGTTTGGGTGTCGGCAGAGGCTGCAGCTCCAGTCTACCTGGTGACGGTGAATGTGGTGCAGCAACTGCAAGAACTTGGGTGTAGAAGAGCCTTCCATGAGCTCGTCTGCAACTGTTGAGAGGTCCTCTAAGCAGGTTGTCCGAAGGATCTTGAGGACTCGCTGTATCCCGGGTGGTAGAAGTGCTAGCCAGCGCACTCGCAGGATGTCCTGTGACACTCGGTCGCCTGCCAGTGTCCTCATGTGACGGAGGAGTTGTGAGGGCTTGCGGTTGCCAAGCTCTAAGTCTGTGAGTAAACGGTGGAGCTGCTTGTCTGCAGAATCTGCGAAACGTGCAAGTAACTGCGTTTTTAAAGTGACATACTTGTCAATGACAGGTGGTGATGCCAGGATGTCCGCTATCTCTTGAATTGCTTCAGAGTCGAGTGCACCGATGACAAGGTGATATTTGCCGTCATCAGAGCGGATACGATGTATTTGAAATAAGATTCTATTTGCGCGAACCACAGAGCAGGCTGCTGTTTCCAAAACGATGGAATCTTACACGCTGTAATAGATTCGATGACACTGTCGTTGAATGGAGGCCCCATGTCAATGAGCGGCTCCAATTGGGATGCACTCCCGTGAGGTAGTTCGATGTGACTTGGCCTTGCCGGTGTGCCGGGTGGCTGCTCCGATCCCTTGGACGGAGGGGTGTGATGTAGCGACATGGTGTCTGTTCGGATTCACG